TGCGGCCAGTAAAATATTATTTATTTAAAACTTTTATGCACATAAATTACGGTACATAAAGCGAACTTAATCTACTTTGTACAAACTTAGAATATGTTTTAAACCTGAAATAAAACCTTTCAATTCTAGAGGGGGTGATTCTAGTGCTCAAATACAGCAAATTACAAAAAACCGAACTTTCACGCTCCTATAAAAAAAAATGAGTAAATGTAGATGCTAGTGCTAATCAATTTAACAGGGTGATCAATTTATTGGTGCTTAATGGTTAATGTAATCGTTCGATGAGCGAAAGGTAAGAAGGCCCTATCTGAGGAAATAATTATCCAGTAAAAGTTCAACCAAACTAACGCGTGCATCCCGCGTGCGCGATGGCAATAGCGATGGCGATACTACTGATGATGATGACGATGAGCCATCGCGCACGCGGGCTGCACGCGTTGGTTTGGTCGAACCTTTAAAAACGCGTTTTGTATACGACAAATTAATAGGTATTAGGTACTACTAAAAGTTAGTGGATCCTCTGAAAACAAAATAAACATATAAGTGTAATGGATGGCACTACTAGGTTTCACTCGATTGTACACCAGTGAAGGCTCGGTCTCCAGGGTGTTATAGTTCGCTGGACGCTGCTACAATAAAACTGTGATTGCAGACTTCGTAAATAAAAGGTAAACCTGAAAAACACATTGTTCTTTGTAAACCTTTAAATTTATAAATAAATACGAGTTAAAGTGGACCAATGATCTGGATGCGGGCAGCGCACGATCGGTCGTGGAAAGCCTTGGAAGAACTTTGTCCAGCAGTAGACGTCATTTACCTGAAACAGGCGATCGATATCTGTACCATTTTTTTTATCAAAACCGTCATTTTTCATAAAGGAAAAGAGTGAGTGGTGTAAAGTCCCTCACTTTCAGATGATTCACGGCCCGTGGCTATTTGCGGAGGTGAGCCAAATAAATCACCCATAGGCGCTACGGGTCTCCTAATGCCGTAAATCAACAGATACCAAGAAAAGATCAGCCAGTTAGCTTATCCTTTTACCTCTGATTAATACTAGTAGTAATAGTGCTCCTTTTGATATCCTGGAATTCAAGGGTACCTAATTAATATGATCACTTCATAGAATCGATGGCATTCAAATTGTTTTTCAATCTCAGAATACATATTTAAATAAAATATCACATTATTTTTACTTAAATAATGAATGATTTACATAACTTATCAACGAAAATTATATTATTATACAAAAAACTAGATAACTGGGTGACAATTTTGTAAAAAACCAGTTTCAGTTACCATTATATCCGCAGTGACTGCCTTCAACTATTTTATTAATATTAAAGACACATTATAGATGAGAATACTTTCCTTGTTGAACTACTACGTAGGGCACGCACGGGATGTGTATAAGTATAACTAACTCTGTATAAAGGCTCCAGGTTCAGAATTTAGTGCAAAATTACGGGTACTGCGTAGTCATGGAGAATATTACGACATAAAGATGAGCGATAGTTTAACGCCGGAAGACGTAGCGTGGGCAGGCCTCCCACTAGGTGGACCGACGATCTGGTGAAGGTAGCGGGAGGTACCTGGATGCAAGCGGCGCAAGAACGCCTCCTAAATGTATTTATTTCAAAGAATACTATTGTGTTAGCGGTATTAGAATAAACTTAACAAAGTTTTCTTCATTTCTCACGAGCGGCTGTTATGGGTATCTAATAAAATTCTTTATCAGAATATTTATTATTAGATATAATGAAGTGACGATAGCCAAACGGTGAAGGTGTTAGACTGGCGACTCGTGATCCGAGGAACGCGAGTTCGATTCCCGCCACCACTCGACCGTTATTGTGATGAACCCAATCGTAACACAAGCATATTTAGCTTACCACGAGGGGTTAAAGGGATTGTTAGTAATTTGTATTTAAGAATTGCTAATATTATTTTTAAAAAGCTCTTTTACACATTTCAGTATTACTTTAATCCTGATTCGTTTGTTAGCATCTATACTGGACTGTACACATCATTTAAAGTAGAATACACAATGAGGGTTTTGACATATCTGTTAATGTCATGTCAAAAATAACCAATCATGCAGCATTTGGACCTCGCGTCTACGTATTGCCATCTGGCGGATTTTTCAATCGCGAAAACCCTCATTATTTGTGCTAGTTGTTTATAAACAGCAATTTTATATTTCAACTTCTTATTTCTGGGTCATTGGGGAATAAGCCGTGTAACCACGGTTTGTATCAAGAGGTTTACGTAAAGCGACTTCGTTTAAACTAAGCTAACATTTAAGTTGGCTCAAACCTTTCGCTTCTTCAGTTTGTTGGCTTCAGGAAAAATGTAATTTAGTATAAGAGTACAGTTACTACTTGACTTACTTGACTATGTCCCCTAGATGGGGCAGAGGGCGTCCACAACAGTCCTCCATCTCGTTCGGTCTTGAGCTTCTCGCTTGATCTTGCTCCAGGTCTTGCCGATCTTCTTCGCCTCGTCCGCTACAGTGCGCCGCCAAGTTTGCCTGGGTCGACCACGTTTGCAGTTACTACACTCGGCGTCAAATAAATCGCACCTCCCTCTTTTTCTTGTCGTTTCGACACCAAACCTACACAGCCCAAAACTCTGTTACAAGAGTCGCGTTGTCAGTATATTCCTGCGTGCAGTGGATTGGGCACGCAGGGTACGACATCATGTGCCTCATAATACTGGGGAACACAACCACACATGCACTGCAAGTTTGAACCATCTGAAAATCCCCACATGTAGGCCTAGAATGCGCGTCACGATAACCTGCTTTTATCGCGCCATTTTATCGATTTACGCGACAAACCCATACGTTTGTCGTCTAAAATTATCGATAAGATTTTATCATGGCGCGCATCTTAGCCCGGCTGAACAGATCCTTATCAGAGTCCTTATCGAGTATTAAAATGAAGATATGCCAATAAGGTTGTTGAAGTGCCTACAGGTTCAAGTGGTAATCATATTTATACGTAAGCTGAGTGATTGCTATGAAAATTTTATATTTTAATCGTAATATCCTATATTCATATTATAGATATAATGAATACATTAATATCCTCTTATCATGGTATATGCAAATGCACTTACTTAGGGTTATTATCAGCATATACAGGGTGTTAGGTAAATGGGTATATGAGCCGGCACTAGCCCATGTTAACATGGGCATATAAATGGTATGGTGAAGTCAGAAATTTGATTACATCATTTTATTTTTTTTATTTTCATACAAAATAAATTTAATAAAATCCGATTTGTATGAAAATTAAAATAATTAAAATGAAGATATAAATTTTCTGACTTCACCATACCATTTATATGACCATGTTAACATGGGCTTGTGTCGGCTTATATACCCATTTACCTAACACCCTGTATACTAGCTCACTTGAGACACAACTTGAGATAACAATATCATAATATTATTTTAGATAAAGTATGCATTAAAGGAAAGTTTATAATGATTATTACTTATAACAAAACTTAAGCAACATATAGGAAATAAAATTAGACATCTAGATATAGGGAATTCCGCAAATTTTCCGGAACGTCTGCAAACTCAATACCCCTTGCAACTGCATCGAAACGTCGTACAATGTACAGTCAGGGTCAAATAGTTCGTGACACCCAAAGCAGCCAAAAACTTCGCAACACGTCTTTGTTACAATTGGAATAAGGTTGTCTTGTCAAAAGTGAGTCCCAGAGCGCGCGCGGGTGTTCCGCGCGCTTTGGAGGGAGCCGGTTGCGGCAGATGCGCGAGGTGCACACGTGGCGTTAAATCCTTTGTAAGCCCTATGTGCACCTCATATCGCGCTAGCAGAGGACCCCATGAGGTTTTAGTGGGTAGTCCCCGTCCTTCTGGCGGGGAGAGTCCCACATAACCCCTGGCTGCCCCCGCGGCCCGGGGTATGCGCAAAGCATTTCCTCATGTAAAAAAAAAAAAAAGGTTGTCTTGTCAAAACTTTTTGGCTACTTTGGGTGTCACGGACTATTTGACGCAGATGAACGTACATACGACACCACTACAAGCAGGGTCCCGTACGCAGTGGCGAAGGACGATTTAGCGAAGTACGTTTTGCTGAAAAACATTCATGGTGGTACGCTGGAGCGAAAGGCTACTGAAGCGAAACACGCGGTCGAGCCCTAGGACCTTGTCAATACATTTTTTGTTAATAATTATTACAAATTAATATAATAAACTTTTAGTAAGTATGAATCAAAATTGGCCGCGAGTGTTTCGCTTCAGTAGCCTTTCGCTCCAGTGTACCACCATGAGTGTTTTTCACTAATCGTCCTTCGCCACTGCGTACGGGACCCCTACAAGCAAATACATTGGTATCTTGTAGCAGGTGCTAAGACAGCAAAAACGTGTTCGATGTGTGGTCGACTGTACATTGCCCCGATTCTATTACAAAATGTCTCCAAAGCTGCACCGTCTTTTGAAAAGAATTCTCGTATCTTGTTTGACAGCCCGCTTTTATTAGCCTGGCTTGTTTTCGATTCTCCCGTGGGACTGAGACACGGGCTGAGATGTTTCACGTATAAAAAATAACATAAAATATCTTTCTAGATCAGAAACTGTATCAACGCAATAAATCACATCGATCTATCATTTGTTTTGGTTTGACATTATACTCGTACGGAAAAACAACAACGTTTGTTTGTGGTTTGTTGATCAAAAACCAGAATGAAGCATTGTTGCCATTGCAATAAATTGTCTATCATAATTTTAGGGTTTTAAATAAATGCAAACATTAATTATGTATGATAGATCTTTTTGAAAAATAACATTCTTAGAAATAATTTTTACGTATTTATAAATTAACTTCTGGCAGTTAAAATAGATTTTCAAAATATGAACGTTTTTGTAAAAAAACTAGGTGAACATAAAGTTGTGCGTTTGGAGGTAGATTGCGAGTAAATATTTTATTACATTTAAAAGAAAGTATTGAAGCAAACAGGCCTCACCATTGATTCTTAAAACTAAAATGCATAAATTAATATGGAAATCGGCATTTTCAGAGGCGCATAAAATATTTACCAGGTAAGTTCATTTTCGCTTTCTTTAGTGGAACATACGTAGGTTAATTTCTTTGTCTTTAATTCATTATCGCCGATTAGATTTCTTCAAGTAATAGGTACTAAACCTAGGCGCAGACCACCGACTTTTAGTTGGACGATAGTTGGACCCGATTTTAATTTGTATGAAAAATCGGCCGATACCTAATCGGTTTAATTTCATACATATCCATACTGATAAACAGCCCGACCCAAATATCGGTCAACTAAAAGTCGATGGTCTGCGCCTAGGCAAGATGATATTACGACTATTTGGTTTCAGAACAATTGCAGAAGATGCTAATCTAAGAAATGTAAAACACTGGCAGGAAATTCCTGGACCTACTTCTTTGCCAATAATAGGTCAGATGTACCATTTTTTTCCAGGAGGTAATAAGCTATTTTCTTATTTAAAACTTATTTTAAATAGTTTGTTTTGAGCGAGTCAAATATTCGGTAAAGTATTTATTTATTTGAATAGTCGAACTCTTCTGCAGAGCCTTCCTAGTAAGTACATAATTATCATGTAGGTACCTACGCATGTTATTCGTTGTAATATCTATATATATATAAAAATGAAACCCGTTTTCCGTTGTCACGACATAACATGAAAACGGCTTGACCGATTTGGCTGATTTTTTTTTGTAGTTTTCTAATACTCTGTACAAGGTTTTTACGGAAAAAAATATAAAGAAAATCTCTACGCTAAGGCGGTACGAAGTTCGCCGGGTCAGCTAGTTTGTAATACATTTTCAACTGACGTTTTAAATTATAAATATTTTCCAGGGGAATTACATAATGCATTTTCGGTAGAATTTGGAAAACATATATTTCAGAAATATGGACATATAGTTAGATTCAATGGGTTTCTAGGCAGAAAACCTGTTGTAGTTTTATTTGATCCTGAAAGTATTTCAATGGTGAGTAAGACCTACTACTTAAAGTGTTAAATTAAGAACTACTACTTGACGTTAAACTCGTGGGATGGACTTACCGATAGGAAACTTAAATTGATGGATAAAATCCGTCTTACTTTCATTAGTATTTTAGACTAAAATTACCTTGTTTTTACTGTGACAAGGATGATTATAGCTCACTCATTATTTTAGGTACTGAGATCTGAAAATGTAATGCCTGTACGTCCTGGATTTCAAACACTGACCTACTACAGAAAATGTAAAAACAAAAACAATCAACCAATGGGATTAATTGCCGAGTGAGTAATCTTTTTGCCGGTAAAACCTCTGATACACATAGATTGAATTTTTAGCATGTGTTTTAAATGTCGCAATTAACTCGCTGTTCAAACGAAGACAATATTATGTCTTGTGAGGTGTATAAGCCATCAGTGAATATTTTTATCTGATCAACATTAAATTAGACTGGAGGGCGTTCCCCTATCCGCAAACCGGTGACGCATCCGATGGCAGACCCAAAACTGCACACAGAATTCATCTGACACCATACAACGACTCGGTGCCTAAAATGGTATGCAGTGTCGGCAACAAGAAACGTCACTTAGTCGTGCTGTAGTAATTTCTGATACAGTACGGCTATACTCAATTGCCGCATCCAGACTCAGGTCTCACTCAAAACTTCCAGACTCACTCAAAAGCAGGGTGAGCAGGATTTCAAGCGTGGCTCACGAGCCGTGCGCAGTTGGTCTGGACCCGGCTAATGCTGTTTAAGTCTTTTTAGATCTATAGAAACCCACATCGCTCACATCAATCTTTATAAACAAATTTTTACCCTGTTTTAGTATTGGTGAGCCATGGAGGAAGTTCCGTACAGTAATAAATCCGGTGATGCTACAGCCTAAGATTATCAAACTTTACCACGACAAGCTAGATGAAGTCGCCATGGATATGGTAGCCAGGTACACAATTGCCTTATTTGGTCAAATACTAACTACCCCCCGAAGCACTGAAACTGCTGGATCTACTTATTTTGAAGATAAGAAAAAAGTAACCATTATTGATTTGCACAATACAGAAGTCGGTTAAAAATAGCTATTTCCAATCAAGAATGTTTATTGAATCTTGTTACAAATCATACCTAAGATCTTACTCTAAATATTTTAAAATACAAACCTGCATGAAAATGGGTAATTATTTAAAGATAATGTTCTTACGTATCATTCAGGCTGCGATTTCTACGAGGTAAGAACGGCATGATCCAGAGGCCATTTGATCTGGAAATGAATCTCTGGTCATTGGAGTCAGCGAGCTTGGTGGCCCTCGGGCGTCGTCTCAACTGCTTCGACCTGAATCTACCTTCAGACTCACCTGAGAGGAGACTCATAGATTTAGTCCACGAGGTGTTCAGGGTAGCAGACGAATTGGACTTCAGACCCAGTTTGTGGAGATACTTTCCCACCAGAGCCTTTAAGAGGGCAATGAAGCTATACGAAGAACAAGACAAGTAAGCAGTTACTGCTATTATAAATTTTCTTTTTACACGTATATTCCCAGGGTTTGAGACTTTATATTATCGCTCCCCAATAAAAAAATCTGAGTCAAGAAACCAAAAACTTAAAAAATACTTGGATCTCACTTAAAATTCACACTTTAGTTAAAGCTAACGAAAAGAATAAAAAAAATGTTANGTGCCCCCAGATTAACGAAGTTAACATTTCTATTAACGGATTAACTTTTAAGTTAACTTTAAAAAATGTTAACGGACTCGTTAACTTCCGTTAAATTATCCTAAGTCCGTTAATCGTTAATCCAGTATCTACCTACTATTTACCAAAAAGATAAAGCAGGCACGCTGAAAAACACTAGAAAAACGCGTTCTGAACCCAAAACAACAGTTTTTGTAACCAGAACGAAACGAAATAAAAATGCATTTTATTTATTTATTTACAAGCTTTATATTGACTTGTTAGTATGTGTGGGACAAATCTTGCAACTGAATTTAAGACCAGTTCTCAACCGATATAGCTGAAATTTGGTATACTTATGTAAGTACGATGAAAATGCAATGTTATGGTACCATTAAGCTGGTCTGATGATGGAGTCAGGAGGTGGCCATAGGAATTCCTAAACGAAACGGTGGAAACTTATCGACTATTTGTTGGATTTGTCTTTTCGAGCACTTTGGTGCTAAATTGCATTGTAATTGAACCAAGGCTCTGAGATTAAGATACTATAGACTAAGAGCTGGTGAACGCCAGACCTAGGTCATTTTATAAAAGCTGAAAGTTTGTCAGCGTATGCTCCCGTTTGGTGTAGTGGTTCAGAACGGACTACTATGCCGAGAGGTCCCGGGTTCGATTCCCGGCCGGGCAGAAATTGAAATGATGAATTTTAATTTCTGTGACGGGTCTGGGTGTTTTCTATGTATAATATGTATGTATTTACAAAAAAAAATAATTATATAAGTATGTTTATCCCGTCGTCTAGTAACCCATAGTACAAGCTTTGCTTAGTTTGGGACTAGAGGCGCAGTGTAAAATGTCCAAGGATATTTATTATTTTATTTATTTTATTATTTAATATAGGTTAGAATGTTGGTGGATTATAAAGTTTGGATCATCGTTGCTTTGGCAGCTATCCTAAAAAAACTGTCTGGCAAGGAGTTGGAACTGTCAAAACTGTGTGGCTGATGTCGAAACAACTTCTAATCATCAATCAATCAAAGTGTAAAATTAAATTATTAAAATACTTTTTTAATAACAAGCTTTTATTCTGAAATGCAGTTGTTACTAAAACGAAAAAAAGAGGAATAAATTCCGTGCGCGACACAAGCTTTCCAAATTATTTATTTTGAACCTTGCATACAATTACTTTTTTTGTTTTATTATCATATGTTAACGGATTAACGATTAACGTTAACTTGCGTTAAATCTTGCTAAATGTAACGTTTTAACGTTTAACGAAGTTAATTTTTTTATTAACGGTTTAACGATTAACGAAGTTAACAATTTGATTAACGGTGCCCAGCTATGCCTTCTACTGCTCCATGTTGTTCTTCTACGGCACACGCACAGACTTTTGTACTCGCCACTCTGCCCGGATAAGCTGGAACAGCTCTTCAAGCGTCCCTTAAAAAATGTTATCAATGTTACAAGGCGTGTGAGGCAACGTTGCAGTGGCGCGCTTGCCGCACTACCACTAATTTTCATACAATTTCTACTGCCATTTAGACACTGTGTTTTATTATAATTATCCCGGAATCCCGATGACATCATAAAGGTAGCAGGAAGGCGCTGGACGCAGGCTACTAACCGAATAACATGGAAAGAATTGGGGGAGGCCTATGTTCAGCAGTGGACGTCTTATGGCTGAGATGATGATGATGATGATGATCCTGAAATAGGCAAAGCTTGAGAGATAATACCTACATAATTTTAACATAGTTTAGGTGCGGGCATCGACCATCTCATTAAAGCTTAGTTTGTCATGCACGTCGTTACGGGGTGTCTCAACTACTTAGGAGCTTAGCTTCAACTGAAACTATTTGTTAACAAAATCCGGGGTATTTAGGTTGAGCAGCCGTAAATCCCGTGTTTCGTGTTCCACCTTCACAAACTATCTTAGTGTAATGCGTGAATATGACCTTCCCATTATTAAGTACTCAGTCTCCTTGGACATCTGACGCAGTCTTTTCCAACTGGAACAGATGGCATAGAGCATTACCTAGTGGGTAGGTATTTGAGATACTTGTAGCTTTATTGGTAGTCGTTACCTTTAAATATATGATAAGATTTTAAACCTTCGCGGTTTCATTTCAACTAAAATAGAAACCAACGGGTCTTAAAGAGACATTTTTTATGACTAAGTTACATTATGTACTCACGGCTTGACGTTTCAGCTGTTATGCTGCAGACGTGGTCATAAGCAGACTGGCCAAGTCCAACCGTGAGTAGGCACATAATGTTACTCAGTCATAAATGTGGCGTAAAGACCCGTGTCTTTCTATTTTAAATGAACAGGATTGTGTAAAAAATAGGGTTATTACTTTGATTCATTATCTTTGCCTTCATCCGCCCATATTTTTCCATTATTTGAGTGTTAGCTGTGGTGCCTGTGGTCTTAAGAACTGTAACGATATTATACACTAGCGGGATTCGCGTAGCATCAACCATTAGCGCTAAAAGCGTTCTTTGTTTCAGCCAACAGGCCGCTGCCGCTTGGTGGAGCGGACACCGATTATATTCTTTAACAACACAACCCTTCTTCTGGCGTAGTCGGGTAAACTATGTCGTATTGCGCGGAATAAACTTTATTGAAACACGTAAATGGTCTAATTGAAAACGAAACAATCAGGACAACTCATAATTAAGGTACTTACCTCATTTACTACGAGTACTTAATCAATAAAACAAATTTTAATAATCCACAGTATTTTTCTGCAAAAAATGTAACGGTCGATTCAATCTGAGTCATAGATTAAATTATATGATCAATCTAAAAATTCAAATTCAACCTATCAAAAGTCACAATGATTTTTGTAATTGAATCGAGTTTCGAGAACATTACTTCACTTCTATCTTACTTCACTTCACTCAATCTCTAAACATGAAGTAATATTTTAATAGTTCCCTCGATAATCCACAGATTGCACCTAAACTTTTAATATAAGGCAGTGAAAAAGCGAAAAAGCTACACCTACTATCCAACTTCGACTATTTATCTTGGCGAGTTTCAAACGAAGTGGAACTAACACATTGTCGCCACAACAAAGCAGATTTCAGTGCGGCCAGTAAAACCTATTATTTAAAACTTTTATGCACATAAATCACGGTATAAGGGGAACTTAATTATACTCTACATAGAACGTGTTTTAAACCTGAAATAAAACCTGTTCAATCCTAGAGGGGGTGATTTTAGTGCTCAAATAAAGCAATTTACAAAAATCCGAACTTTTACGCTCCTAGTTATTTAATTTTTAGCGTTAAGAGTCGCATCTCAAACTAATTTGAAATTTATAAATAACTTGAAAAAATCGAACTGCCTAAGGCAGGTAACGCTGCCGTAACAGCGTATTACACTTGAAAATTTCGACGGGTTCATTCAGTGTCTAAGTAGCTCAGTTTGGAAGAGCAGTCGCCCGGCAAGCGGAAGGTCGTGGGTTCAATTCCCGCCTTAGGTAGTTCGATTTTTTCAAGTTATTTATAATTTTACGCTCCTATACAAAAAATGAGTAAAATATGTAGATGCTAGTGCTAATCAATTTAACAGGGTGATCAATTTGTTGGTGCTTTTAATAGTTAATGTAATCGTTCGATGAGCGAAAGGTAAGAAGGCCCTATCTGAGGAAATAATTATCCAGTAAAAGTTCAACCAAACTAACGCGTGCAGCCCGCGTGCGCGATGGCAATGGCGATGGCGATACTAGTGATATCTACTGATGATGAAGATGATGAGCCATCGCGCACGCGGGCTGTACGCGTTGGTTTGGTCGAACCTTTAAAAACGCGTTTTGTATACGACAAATTAATAGGTATTAGGTACTACTAAAAGTTAGTGGATCCTCTGAAAATATATAAATAAAACTTTTTTAATTTCGATTTTTCTTTTTTATTCTAAAGACGAATTTAACAATAGAGTAAACCTGATTTAATGTATTTTTTTTTTGTTAAAATACATTTTCTATGGCTACTTTTGCTATTTATTGTCACGTAAACGTAATTTTAAGTCAATTAAAAAGATAAATATTTGAAAACCTTTGATTATATACGTTTTTTTACTATGTCCCGCTTCTGACGGAAGAATCCCGCTATTTTCACTCAAAAAGTACCAAAGTCCCGACTTGGCGAAAAAAAAAAACTGGCAACGCTGAACTGAATGCCTAGTAGTGCCGTGACTCACGGCACTACTAGGTTTCACTCGATTGTACACCAGTGAAGGCTCGGTCTCCAGGGTGTTATAGTTCGCTGGACGCTGCTACAATAAAACTGTGATTGCAGACTTCGTAAATAAAAGGTAAACCTGAAAAACACACTGTTCTTTGTAAACCTTTAAATTTATAAATAAATACAAGTTATAGTGAACCGACGATCTGGATGCGGGCAGCACACGATCGGTCGTGGAAAGCCTTGGAAGAACTTTGTCCAGCAGTGGACGTCATTTGGCTCAAACAAGCGATCGATATGGGTTCCAATGTTTTTATCAAAACCGTCATTTTTCATAAAGGAAAAGAGTGAGCGGTGTAAAGTCCCTCACTTTCAGATGATTCACGGCCCGTGGCTATTTGCGGAGGTGAGCCAAATAAATCACCCATAGGCGCTACGGGTCTCCTAATGCCGTAAATCAACAGATACCAAGAAAAGAACAGCCAGTTAGCTTTTACTTTTACCTCTGATTACATGAGCTATTATTATTGGTCACCGGTGTCCGGCCCGACCCGTTAGGGCGCAGTAATATGATCAATTTTATCGACAAATCTAATGTAGTATAATATTTTATCCCTATTATTTAA